TACTTTTGCCCTAGCAAGCGGTGATGATTTTGTACGGCACACCGCTGCGGGGAGTGGCTCATGCAGGTTCCTTCATATTCGAACGGCGCGATGGGTGTCGTTCATCCAACGGGCGCATCACGACATGACAGGGCTGGTTCTGGCCTCATGGGACCAGGCCTGTATCTGAAAACGACCGTGTGTGAGAATGGTACAAGCACGCTTCATCGACGCGTGCGTTCTAGTCGCGAACCGGCTCGCCATCGTGACGTCGGGCATCCCCACGTCAGCAGTGCTTGTCTAGCAAGACAAAGACTAGCCTAGCTCTTTCACGCCTGCAGCCATCCGGCTGAACCCTTGCAGATACAACTTTTCGAGGAGCAGTATAAAAATTGGATGATAAACAGGGTTTCATCGAGCCTTAACATTGTGCCCAGCGTACACACTCCGCTGCGTCAGACTCGGTAGAGTTATGCCAGATACCACTGCTCTGTCGCGACGGTCATTACTGCCACAAGGAGGGAAAAATCTACTCTCGTACATATTTGCAGCCGAACGACTCACCTATAGCCTCTGAGGACATTGAAAGAATGTCCACGATGCCAAGCTCGATCGCCATCACGTCGCTATCATCGTATGGGATGGATATTAGCGGGCTTGGGAGGAGCTGGCGGGGAGTGAGAATTTCGATAATTTGTTAGCGCCTAAGGATGTCGAGGACACTGAGAAGTCTGGCGAGGATTCTAGATCGCGGTGAGAAGGCAATCCAATATCTATCTAATATAATAAAACACCTCGGGCGTCAAATCCCCGAGACAAAGAGGCACTCTCATTGGCCAGTGATCCCCTCTCACGAGGCGCCTCTCACAGGGGCGCTGCACGCCCAGCCAACCGAAGGTTGGCGGCGGGCGGCGCGTTCCTCTCATTTCTCATTCGATTTCTCTTAATTCTCTTCTGAATTCTTCTCTCAATATCTTTTCTCAATTCGCTCTGCCCGTGCGTAGCACGGGTCACCCTCTCGTTAATATAATATGCCTTGCAAAGGGCGGATCATATCTAAATACGGTAACATTACGCGGTGCGCGTCATATCGGGAAGTCGGGAAAGGCGCGACGCCTGATTGCGGATCACTGTACGGGCGTCTCGAACAAGAAAGCCGTCGGTGATGCTTACGTAGCTGTCGAAAAACGGATGTATCCACGTATCGAAGGATTCAAAACAGAGCGTACTTGTTAGATCTGACAGTTCCCCAGCGGCAGATACTCGTCGAAGACGAGAGGAAAGGGACGCATGTTCGGAATTGAGCACTTATGGAGTTATAGGTGGAGCAGATGGCAGCACGGAAACCCAGTTTCCTATTATTCTCAAGTATATTAACGGTCTTTCCATCTCCTCAAAGCTCAAAGTGTTGAGTTCCCACATCTATACTGGTTTCGCTCCACAATGGGATTAGCTTCTTCAGTGCCAACGCCTTCAGAAGCCCTTCGCAATCTTTAACGAAGCACTATTCTGTTGTAAAATGTCGTACATCTGGAAACGTGACATCTGGAAAGGATTATAACAATAATTTTTGATCGAAGACTGTCAAGTTCACTCATAAACTGTGCAAGCAGTAGCTCACCCCAAAAAACTCTCCTCCTTGCTTCCCCACGTTGATTATGTCGGTGCAGTCAAACCAGGTCCTTGTTCAGACATATTTACGAGTGTAAGCATCGCCATTGTGCTTATTTGGTGACCCAATAATTACGTCTTTATCTTCTAGTATTACGGCCAGCTATATCAATGCAGCTACCACGTGCAAGTACATCCATTGTCTTCAATTGCATCGCTCACACAATATTCGTCCCTCAGGCCTCGTCATATATGAGTTTCTGATTACCATCGGTGACGAGATCAAAATTGTGTGGAGGAGGCCAATTACTGCACGTGCCATCCTCCTTGGCTCGGTACGATGGTGTATGCTCCTCTCAGCTGTCCTGGATCTTGCGCCGGAAACTGCGAATGTGAGCCTTAGGTACATTAGACCGTGTGCAATGTATGATAACGCTTCTCACAGGAGTAAGATCAGCTTGTCTAAGGCCCATGGATAGAGGAGCACTTGCTAAAACTTGACGTATAGCTGCACGCCGCTTGAAATCCTGTACTGGACATTCTTCCTTGTTCAATTCCCCCAGGCCGCATGTACGCTTTACATGATCTGTTCAAATCAGAAGATTCTCTGATTTATACATGCCAGTCTTCTCTGCCGCATGCGTCTTCGCAATCTGGAATAGGAGCTATGTCTGGTTGCTGGTGGTGTTAACGCTAAACATGACGCCGTTGGCGACGAATCTAGTGCGTACCGCTGTTGATTGAACCTTGCACACACTCTAGTTGATGCTTCTATGCAGTACAGTGCGGTAATGTCAAAGTATGGGTTCGTTATGGAGCCGCTTACCGGACCGACATGTCTCACAGAGCTTCAGTTCTCTGTGCGAACATATGGCATGTGGGTGTACATATTTTTCTGGTGCAATTTTGGAATACTGAATTTGCAATATAGATGTACCTTCCGGGGTCAGAACCATCTAATATTTCGGAAATATTGATATCACCTGCTCATAGTCATGTACATCACACGTGGCTCACTCATCCTCGCCGACGCTATCGTGCTCGTTTTAACATGGATTAAGACATTTGGACACTGGAAGAGTGCCCGCCGACTCAGCATGAGAGTTTCACTGACGATGTGTCTGTTGCGCGATGGTCAGCAGTCCTTAGAGTATCTTCACATTTTCCGTTGCTGATGCCCAACTATCCATGCAGAAACTATGTTTTTCATGCGAGTGCGACTCATTAGTCTCATCGGATAGAATATCTGACAAGAGACAATGGATGTAGAGCTCTGCTGGCAATAAATATATCCCAGCTGCTGACACACAGCATCGAGCAGCAGGAGGAGCTGATTCAGTTCGGCGGCCCAGACACGGGAACTTATTAAGTTACACCGGACTAGCCACCCAGAAGCGCCCAAGAGCGGCTAAGACACGCTGAAGAATTTCCGAAAAGCCCAAAAAATGGCACAAGCAGGAATCAAACCGGCAGCCTGAAAGTAACTGCAGCGCACTATACCACTAAGGCATAAGACCTTGCAAATATAAGCTTGGAATTGTCCTATAATACCACTTCCCTACCTCAAAGTCTTAGCTGCAATATTGTAGCCAATTATCAGGTATTAAAGCATTGGAATGTAATTGTACAAAGGTATATCCTAATGGCATGGCTAAGACATTGATGTGGTCAAGACACCAGTGTGGCTAAGACATTGAGTCATTAAATATTTGCTATTGATTCTGCTTATTGTA